GTTGAACGCCTCCCACCATGTGCTAATTCCACCTAAAAACGCCAACATTCATTAAAAATGATTAAAAACCAATCCGTAAACACTAACACATTGCATTAAAATCTCTGCAATTTGGTAAACAACTAACCCGCAAACGATGCCCATCAAAGTCATAACCATCCCGACCATGGATAGCATCTTCAGCATCCCGAGGATCATCAAACTAAGCAGATTATAGAAACAAAATTAGAGCATTCATATAGTCTGGTGGAAGTGGTGCTTCATAAGTCAGAACAAACGTAACTCTTGAATCATTGCATGAGACTTCGATCCTTAAAACAGGAACAACAACAAAGAGCCTAACTACAACATCAAGAACCATCCCACAGAATAGCACATGTCACTGCACAGAATAAGAGTCGTGGAATTGGTTAGTAAGCTGACCTCTACGAATGCGTAGCCAGGAGGCCTTGGCGGTACCTTCAAATCAATTTGAACAACAGGTCCATACTGCAACACCAAGGAAGAACAATATGTTAGTTACAGGCCCAGTATCAAACATGGTTTTGTTACAGGGAGTCCCAAAAACGAAACAAAAAGTGTCAGACTTTATAGATAAGTTGCTTATGAGCAAAAAAAGAGTCGCATTTACAAGTACCCAGAATGTGAGGAAAACAAGGCTCGTAAAGATTACAGAGAAGAAACGACACATATATACCTTACTGAACAAATCTTCAACCTCTCTCTCGCGGATATCACCAGGAAGGTTTCCAACGTACACAGTTCTACTCGAACGGCTACTCATTCTTCCTTTTATCAAATCCAAACACAACTCCAAAAGTTAAGATTCAAACAAGCAAAACATACACAAAAAATATCATCAACACAATCCTTTGATGATTTACCTGTTCGTCGATTTGAGATCTCCGTTTGGGTGAGAGAAGGAAGCTCCGAAATTTGGGAATTAGGGCTTCCGTGTTGGCGATAAGTTAGTAGTGGTCTTGAATTCGATTCCGGTTCAATTAAACCGGAACTAGCACCCATAATCAACGTTTGGGCTTAAAGCCCATTGGGCCATAAGTGTTTAAGAATCAGTCCAGTAACGAAAACCCTAGGGAGTTGTTTATATTCAATCCCTAAATCTTATCTCAGCGAGTTTTCCGATCACTGCAACACGAACGAAGATGGCTCGAGGAGGAGGAGGAGTTGGTGCGAAGAAGAAAGGAGTGACGTTCGTGATTGATTGCACTAAACCAGTCGATGATACGATTATGGAGATCGCTACGCTTGAGAAGTTTCTTCAGGAACGAATCAAGGTCGGAGGTAAAACCGGTGCTCTTGGTAACTCCGTTTCGATTACACGAGATAAAGGAAAGATCACCGTCAACGCCGATTCCACTTTCTCCAAACGGTACACTTCTTTGCTTTTGCCTCTCCTTCTCTCACGATTTTGAGTTTATTACATTAGAAGGATTTTGATTCTGGAATTAGGAAGATTTTAGATTTTGTTGTTATCAATTCTGGATGGGCATTTATTTCGCTTGGACTAACTAAAATTTGAATAATTTGCTCTTTAAGGCATTCGTTTTCTATGGTACTTATCTATTGATATCTTTGTAACCACATTAACTGTTGTTTTAGCTTTTTGAGATCATCACTACTGAGTCTTAAACCCAATTTGCCAAAATTTCCGTAATCATCTTGGTTTGTGAATTGCGTTGACATGTTTTGTTGGATCTTAAATCAGGTACTTGAAGTATCTAACCAAGAAGTATCTGAAGAAGTACAATATCCGAGATTGGCTTCGCGTGATTGCGTCCAACAAAGATAAAAACCTCTACGAGTTGAGATATTTCAACATTGAAGACGAAGCAGGTGAAGAGGAAGAAGATTAAGGCTCTTTCTCTTTTTCATTCTTTTTTTAAGTAGTTTAGTGAGTCGAGATTTTTCCTGATCCTACAAATATTTGTTGGCATTGGTATTTTTTTGAATGATTAGTCTCTTAACAATTGACAGAAGAAATGATGATGACTAAATTCATCTTACATTTCTGGAAAAAAAAAAATGAGATCTTTCTAATTCTTTTGTGCCCTGGTTAGTTCGGCAGAATTGATTGGATAATATCTTATTATATATGCCTAATTAATTTTGTGGAAGATAATAATACTAAATGAGTTGACTACAATTAAATTAGTTTTAAAGAAAACAAATTCATAGTTGCATAACAAAACGAACTACAACTAATGTTAGTTTCTATCTCATGTGTTTTATTTCAACATGTTAGTTTAAAACCCTAAAACCTAAATAAATCCCAATAAATATAACAGAAAAAAAAAAATCGAGAATCTTGAGGACAAAGCCTAAACTGACGCAGCAGCCTTTCTCCTCTCCTTCTATATAAACGCTCCTCTCCTCTCTCTTCCTTCTCATATAACAAAACAATTCAAGAGATCAATCAAGTGAAGAGAGAACAAGAACCTGAAAACCTCTCTTTTGCTCTGTTTTATTCTTTCACAATGGCTCATTCTCTCTCTAACGCTAAGATCTTCTCCGTCTTCATCTCCGAAGGGTTCTCAAACGCTGTTTTCAGGTTATAAACAAAAAAAAAATCCTTAAACTGAAAACAAAAAGACGGATGTATTGCTCTGTTTTAAACGTCGTTTTAACTAAACGGTGACGTTTTTTGTTCTCTTTATCAGGCGAGGGTTCGCCGCCGCTGCCAATACAGCGTCGCATGGAAGCGTTTCGAGCGGTGGAACCGCTTCTGCCACGGTTTTGAAGAAGAAGGTTGTGGAAGAGTCAAGCGAGAAGGCACCATGGGTTCCAGACCCTAAAACCGGTTATTACAGACCGGAAACCGGTTATGAGGAGATTGACGCGGCGGAGTTACGAGCTGTTCTCTTGAACAACAAGCAATAATTAATTAAAAGCAAAAACAAAGAAACGGCTTTTTATTAATTATTTTAATGTTGTTTAATGCTGTGTATTAAAAGGAGATTAGCAAAACGGGTTATGATCTTTTGCGGTGAATCCCATCTAATTCTGTTGCGATTTGTGTAATAATCGTTTGGATTTTATCCGATTCAGATTTAAAAGCTTTTCATTTCACGAAGATTTTGTATTTTACTATGATTCATAAGCCATAACTAAAAAAAAAACTAATATGAATTCCAATTGACGTAGAGAAATAATAACGTTAAAATTAAATTATTGAGCAGAAATTATATAACTGATTTTATTGAAATTATATAACTGATTTGATTGAAACCCCATTGAAAGACTTATATGTTGGTTCGAATTAACGTACTAAACAAATGGTTAACTGTAAGGTTACACATTGTTACGAATATTATCACTGCATTAGCGGGTTAGTTTATCATAATAAATTAATCAACCGAAATTGTAAAATAATCTGATAATAATACAGAAAGATGGTTTGTTCCTTTTTCCGATATAAGCGAGGTAAGGAGACGTTTTTGTCTATTGGTGACACATTGTTCATGATTAGTCAAATTGCAATTCTGTACTCCGATATCAAAGTACCATACATTTTATTTTTATTTTAACTATTTTTGATGGTGTTTGTCTCTTCTTCAAAAAAAAATTAAAATCGTAGAGAGAACAACGATATTTTGCATTTTACGATTTAACCACGTGGCAAGGCATGTTGCACTAGAGGAAATGTTGATCATAGAATGTTAGTAGAAAAACAAGAAGACGAGAAGCTCAAACTTGTGAGCCTCGGAAATCTACTTTAGAGTATGTATATATGAAGACCACATAACTCCCGTGTTAATGGTTGTGAGAAAAAGTTGGCTCATACTAAATCCCAAAGGCCAATTTGCACAAAAAAGACATTAGGCAAGTTTCTAACCTCACATTCTTAACTAACAAATATATCGTTTTTCTTTCATTAAAAAAAATAATATCGGTTTTCTTCCATCACAATTCATAGC